CCATACACGATAGTGGTGTTTGGCCATATCTGTCTACTGGATTGGGGTCGATATCCTCTCGTTCCAAAAGAACCCTTACCACCCCCTCATGCCCGTTCTCAGCTGCCCGCGAGAGTGGCGTCCAGCCATATTCGGTGTCTGCCGTATTGGGATTAACATCCTCTCGCTCTAATAGCATCTTCACTACCCCCTCATGCCCCCACTCAACCGCCCAGCAGAGTGGTGTCCGGCCATATCCAGTGTCTACCGTATTGGGACTAACATCCTCTCGCTCTAATAGCATCTTCACTACCCCCTCATGCCCGTTCTCAGCTGCCCGCGAGAGTGGCGTCCAGCCATATTCGGTGTCTGCCGTATTGGGATCAACATCCTCTCGCTCTAGTAGCATCCTTACTGTCCCCTCATGCCCCCGCTCAACCGCCCAGCAGAGTGGTGTCCGGCCATATCCAGTGTCTACCTTATTGGGGTTGACATCCTCTCGCCCTATTAGCACCTCCACGACCTCCTCATGTCCGCCTATCACTGCCCATATCAGAGCCGTAGTCCCCGTGCAATCCTTCGCATTGACATCCCCTTCTTTCATTCCTAATATAGCAGAAACTAACTCTACGATCCCGAGAAAAGCTGTTCCGTGGAGCCCCGTAAATCCTGCAGGTCCTCCCGTGTCGCTAAAATAAGGAACCAAGCGCCTTTTTTCAATGGAATGCAAGAGCATTAATTGAGCAGATATGTGTTCGTCGAATCTATCGAGAAGCCTCAGGGCAAGTATTTTTACATTTTCCGTCATACCCCTTTTTGTGTGCTCCCCCCAATAATAAGAAGCATATTCTAGAAAAGGCATTGTTGAGAGAGCCTTAAGAAGGGTTGGCGAAAGATCTCGGACGCATCCAAAATTGAGGTATGTCAAGCAAACCTCCGCTATTTCTGAGTGTGGACTATGGAATAGGGTCGGATCGCTTGAGAGATGCTCTTGCAGGGTAAAATGCACTAGCCTGACGGTGGACGAAGACGCTTCGACCGTGACGAGACCCAGAGAAGACGCTAGGAGTATCCGTGACGCTGGAACGTTTTCAGGATCCATATCTGTAGATCCCACCTCAACTCCCAAGGCATGGCACAGCTCCTCGACCAGTAATGGCCGTTCCGAATGCAACACCCACATCAGAACCTTCATTCCGAGTACCGATCTATTTCCCTTCTGCGCCCTTAGTCGGGTTAGGGTTGCCGTGTATGCGTCGCTCAGTCCATTGCCTTGTGTCATCTTTTCGAGTTTCTTTCTTCTCTGACGAATTGTCGCCTCTCCTAGAATAGCGTCGATGTTTAGCGATACCAGTAGGAATCTACGCACAATCGTTAGGAAGTATATCATACATCACTGATAGAGCAGAAATGCTGAATACTTCTACGCACATATCAGACATCTTATCTAGGATAATTCTCATGATATCCACTCGTAAATCGTCGTTCATCGCCTCTGGCTCAGAATCCCTACCCAGCCTCATCTCCAGATAATTCTTGATATCGTCCTTATTAGGACTGATAGGTATCACAGCTGCCCCGGCGAAATATCTTCGAATATCCTCCCTCACATGGGGCCTCCCAGTGAGGAATATTCGTGTCTTAGGGGTCTCCCGAACGATATCTCTTAGTGACTCAAGAAGCTCTGGTAGATGCTTCGGCAAGCATTCGTCAAGAGCATCGATACAGATGAAGACCTGGGGAAGCGAAGCAATAGCGATCTTCAGCATTCCCATCAGATCCGGAAGTCGCAGCCCTCTTCCGCCAAACTCCATCTTCCCCTCCCGAAAAGCCTCGCGTAGATGATCCGGGATGCCCCCTCTGCCCACCAGCTGTTTAAGAATAGCTCCCATCATGTTGGTGATTGTCTGTTCCTGGTGGGCTAGGAAGTCGCAGTACAAGCCTGCGACAGCAATACCTCCCTCCCTTGCCTGATCGCACAAGCTATCAATCACCAGGGAACTAGTATGTCTAGCCGTCAGAAATATTTGCTCCCCCCAAAGGGTCCTGCCACCTACCTCAGGTATGTCTTGCCAACTCCGGGATTCCCGCTGCAAAACAAGACAGCCTCACCAGCTCCACCCTTGCTCCATCGCCACTGCCGAAACTCATTTGTTTCCAAAAACCAATCCCCAACACCGTCAAATCGGTCGGTGCGCACGCCTTGATGTCTGTTGCCCGGCTCTAGCGGAGAGAGCCAACGCATAATCTGCGCATCCTCATCAGACTTATAGACGATGTTGTTGAAACTACCCGTTATGTTGCCGCAGTTGGCATTACCATCGCCCACGTTGACCGATGGTATATGTGTAGTCTGAGCCATGATATTCTATGCAAAATGTTTGTTGAATGTGAGAACGTTACGACTATTCGCAGGGGTATTCGGGAGAGTTGATAAACCTTCTGTGAGCAGAGCTGAAGAAGGCGGGGCGATGCACAGTAACTTGTGCGACAATTACTAACCAGTCATATCCATTTTGGAAGGGGATATGACTAATATGAGACAGGCCTCCTGAACTCTTCCGTCGAGTTGCTGCGGACGGGAACTGGAATGTTTTGGAGATAGTAAAGGAGGGTGGGGGGAAACCATTGCAATGAGGAGAGCAAGTATCTAGTAATCCAATGCATCGGAAGAGCTATCTCCTTATTAGACGGCTAGCAGGTTGCGATCATGGTTACCAATGTTATCGCGCCTCCCCGCATGTGTGCTGTTACTATGCTTTGATCTATCTCTGGACAACCATCCATAGAACCCAACAAATCTACACCCACATCATAAGCAAACCCCATCCCACGATCACTCAACGGCCTTACACACCACCCTATCTCGTGTCAAAAAAAGAAAAGGGGGGTGTATTAGCAAACCGAGTTTATCTAACATCCACTTCTCGAAGCTAACTTATAACTTCTCTCTGCCTAACCTATTTCACGCATCAGCGTGCGAAGGATGTGGAGATATTCTGTTTCCCACAGTGCATGGGCTCAGGTGGTGTGTAAATCCAGTGTATTTGGATATCCATGGGGGACGGTATAAATATGTACATACTACCTATAGTACTACCACCCTACCGTGCCTAGCGGTAAGCTGAATGGTAGTACGATTTGATTCTTTCTGTGGGAGTTTAGGTTTACATAGATTCCACTAGGCCTAGGGGGACCTGAGAAGCCGGAACGACGGTGGGTACTTTGGGGTTCGGCGGGGTGAAAGGTAGTGTTCACTGTGTTGTAGAATAGGGTGCGAGAGTAGCAGTTTAGTAGCTTCTCGAGGTGGAGGTAGGCTTATGCTAATGGGATGGGAAAAATAGGTGGCCGGTATGGGGAGCAGGAGGGGTACGGGTAGTGTGAGCCACCGACAAAGGGAGGGGCGGTTGTTGCTGGGCTCCGGGCTGGTCTGAGGTATGATACCACATATCATACCCCCCGAGTAGATACGAACAAACCAGTATGATACCGCACGCATTGACCGCACGAGTGACATCTCATGTTAGTTATCACTTCTGGCGCCTTAGTGACCACTTTACTCCCCTCCACAACAACCCCATCGCACTCCTAGAAACAGCGCAAACAAGGCCTGATTTAAAACTCTATTACGATATATCCCTCAAGGTATCCAACCCATATATCCCAACCATATCAAACCGATCCCCAATGACTATAATAACATGATCATACCTGCTCAACGATCGCAGCAAAAACCAATGCAAAATGCTAGGTAAAATGAAAAAAAAAAAGAGAGTAAGGATCGCTGGCTAAACCAAACCGAACCAAGCCAAACTCGCCCGCTACGCTAATAACAGAGACCGGGAAGGGCAATACAACAGACGCTAAAGAGAAAGAGGAGATCAAAAAAAAAAGGAAAAGGCCGTGACTGGAATAAGATGAATGGATAGATACAAGGAAAACTCTTATTTAAAGAACGTTAACTGTCAAAACTCAGCAAATCAAGAGTCATTACTTTCCCTATCGGCACTTTCGTACCCGCCGTCCGCATCACAAGCTTCATCACCAATACCATCCGCACCCACTTCTCCCTCGGTGTCTTCCGCCTCCTCGTCACCGCCAAGTGTGGTATGTTGGCTGTCTCGAGCAGAACTGTCGCTACTCTCCGCTGGTGGATGCTGGGTAAACCAACACAACGTGGCAGGGCTCAATTCCCATTCATCCTCTCTGGAGCCTCCTCCCCTGCTGCCGCTACTCGTCCGGCGGATCAAGCCACCGATTCCAGCGCAGCCATCGGGCGGGTAAGAACTGCTCCTACCTGTACCCGCGACACAGCTGACCAGCGTGACGCTGCCTGTATTAGCAGGGCTTGCGCCACGAGAGAACTTCCTCCCGATCTTGCGTCTTCTGCCGGTGTTACTCGACGACATTGAGCCTTTTCGGCTCCTTCTGCGGAAGGGGAAAGGCACAGAGAGTTGTGGGCTGGAGGCACCCACAACGTCTGGGACTTCCTCTTCTAATTGAAAGGGGCCGAATGATGAACCAGGGCTGTTGATAGCAGTGGTGAAAGAGATGGCGGGTTGGTCCAAAAAGTGTTTGTGACTCCAGAAATCGTCGTCGGACTCCTCAAGTTTCGGGATATCATGGGAGGCCTCTCTCTCGATAGCGGTTTCGGTGAATTTCGGTAGCGACTTGATGTCGGACCACGTTATCGTGGATGAGCCGCTTGAGGGCGTGATGTACAAGACTTTCCGCCGGCCTTTCATCAAGCAGGTTCCACGAAGGAATTCAACTGTCCAGATTCCATCCATCATTTCACCCGGCCGGAGATATTCGAGGGCAGTTTGTTTGTGGACTTTGCGCAGAGGCTGCCAGGCGCTGGAGCTCATAATGGGTTTTGTGGGGGTGGTAGTGGTGGAGGCCTGCGGGGAGCAGGAGGAAGCTTGGGAGTCGGCCTCGAAAGAGCGGCACCAGTCAAGGAGTTGGGAAAAGTTGGCCTCCACCTGGGATGCAACGTCTCTGGCGGTTCCGGCGGTGATTCCCAGCGTTCTAACGAATCCACGACTATACAGGCGACGATAGACACTAGAGCGTATACCAAAGCTTTTCGGGACCATGCCGGGGGTCTCGGGTTCGCCCAACGCCTGGCGAGAGTATGTGATGCCGGAAGTGGTGTTGGTGGATTGAGGATTGCTGCTTTCGTATTGGGTTCCAGTTTCCGATTGGGCGCATGGGTCGACCCATATACCCTTCAATGGCGCTGGTGGGAGCAAGACTACTTCAATCACCCATGGACGAGACACTGTGGGTGGGGCAACATCCTCCAATTCCAAAAACCTCGATTCGTAGCCTTCCAGCACCCCAAGCACGCGAGCAGTAGTTGCTTCTTTGTTCTCCCCAGTATTTGACGAAGAGGTTCCCGAAAAGCTAGTCGATGTGCTCATGGTAGCCGTGAAACTCGTGGTATTTGCCATATTGACTTCCTGCTGACTACTACTATCGCCCAAGCCTTCACGTCCCCGCCTCCGCCGTTTCCGTCGAATACCTCCGTCGCCCTGCCGTGAGTGCTTCCTTTTCTCACTGCGAGACTCGAGAAACGCCTCGACAGGGGCCAGACGATCGCCGAGGCGATCCTCGAAGCTCAGCACCTTGTTCTCACACTCAATGCTCCGATCCTCGATCAATTCAATCTTCTCTCTCATGTCCTCCAGCACCGAGCCGAACGTTTCCACAGTTTCAAGCCTCTCATTGTGCAATTTGAGCTGGTCTCTGTCAGTGTGAAGGACCGCGAGGCTCGCCACGAAATCCCCTCTCAGGTCAGCGAGTCCCCGTTTTATTTCCGCGATCTCACATGGCAGAAGGGCGGTAGCAGTGGAGGCAGCCGCAGAAGCAGCCATCGACTCGGGGTTTTTGACCGACGCAGCAATAGCCTCCTCCAACCGGGTCTCCAAAGCCAGAACCATGGGGATCGCATCGGCAATTGGAACATTGGTATTCTGAGTGCTTGGCTTCGACCCATGCTCGCTGCCGAGTTGCGAAGGTTGGTAATGCGGCTTGATCCGTCTAGCGGCGAGGACGGAAGGACTCTGTTCGGAAGAACACGGATCACGCTCCGTCGTCGTCCCACTGGCCATCGAAATCCCACTAGCTGCCAAGTTCGCCCCCGACCGATCCAAGCGAATAGACGTCTCCGTATCCGAAATCTGCAGCGAATAGCGCCTCGAGGTGTTCTGCGCGAGGGCATTCCTAGGCGGGTGATCGATCGAATGAAAGCAAGCGTGATGACCGCAATGACAATTCCCCATATCCTCTCCGTCGTCGTCCTCCCCTCTCTCCTCTTGGTGCTCTTGCCGAAAGGTCGCAGATGTCAGCCCCGCCGTCCCGCTCCCAACCAATAGTTGCCGCTCCTCGCTGACCCGATTGACGCGTGGTGGTGCCCGGTTCTTTCCACGACCTTTGGGTGCCTTCTTGCGTAGCCAGAAACGCTGGCATCCGCAGTTATTCGCCAAGGGCTGGGAGAGGTCATGGTAGTTGCAGCCCCCCGTTGGCAGTATCGAGTCCATTATGACATGTTTGGGTGAAAGGGGGTTCGAGAAGAATCGGCAACGATTGACCAGCAAGCGAGCGAAGGGGAGAAAGAGGGGGAGAAAGAGGGAGAGGAAGGGAAAGGAAGGGTAAGGAAGGGTAAGGACAAAAAAGGGCCGGAGAGGGAGATGATAAGCCAAACTTACCGGGAGGAAAAAGAAAGGAAGGAAAGCTTCCAGGAGACGGGAAGGAAATCCCTGGATGGAGGAATTGGCAGGGAGGGAGGGAGGGAGGGAGAGATGGAGGAAAGGAGGGGTCCACAAGGAACGTTTGTATCACCGAAACCGTCCAGAACGGGTCTAGCTGGCTGTCAGCACTCTGAAGTTTGCCTTGCGTCTTGGTATCAATTGTAGGGCGACGGACAAAATGCCGTATTCGCATGATGAAGCCACCGTACTCGAGTATGGTATGGCATCCAGAATTGTTATTGTTGCCTCGAAACAGAGTCTATAAAAGGGCACAAATAAACAGCCAAGCAAGGCGTTCTACAGAACTACCGTCCCACTTTATACACGTACCATCCCATCCAATGTTAGCAAAACCTCAATACCGGTGTCGCACTCGGATCTCCCACAACGAGGGCAATTCCTGCAAGCTCGCACACAATCATCGCACTCGCCCACCTTGAGCAAGAGTTGCACAATTGGAAGCGGCACCTCCCTCCGCCAACCAGGGATGATCAGAAGTACGCCCCCCAAAAAACGCAGGAGCCGTTCAACCATCCGCGGGTGCCAAAACGAGGAACACGCTCCATCACGGGGTCCGTTCACCAAAAAAGGACGATAAAAAAAGGTCCGAGAGAAACACAGGTTGAGGGATTAATCCCTGCCGATAACAAGATGCTATCCCGTTATCAGTAATCACCACAGGAGGGAGCTATGATACCTGAGTGTAGAAGCACTGCCCGTAAAGAGTTACCCGGAGAAGGGCCGGGAGATTGTTTACTCGAGTAGTGAGACGGGAAGCCCCGGGTGTGGGGACATTGTTGTCATTCGTCGATTTTGACGCGAGTCAACACCACACGGTAATACCGGTATTGTGTTCACTCGAGCACCGTACTCTACTATACCGTGCTGTACGGTACTGCACCGCTAGATACTCGATAAGCATGAATTCGGTACCCTTATCGCCCACAGTGAACCCCGCAGCCTGGTTTTCATCGATTCCTTAATCATCAACAGGTGCCTCATCACCACATTGCACCCCGCCTACCCCACCGCCTCGACAAGCCTCGGTGCACCCGAACACGACCCGGCCAGCCACCAAATGCAGAAATGCTTACCATCCTCCTTTCCCTCCTAACGGAGCCCATCTTGTTGCTCCTCTCCCTCCTTCACCCCCGCTTCAAACGGGACCACTTCGCGCCTCATCCAACAGCTCGGTTTGAAGGCTACTACACTCGGATACTGACCCCCGAAGCCACAATCCTCCTGATCCTCTCCTCCGTTCGAAAAGCCACGCACAAACCCCACTACGTCCACTTCTCCTATCTCCCCCACCCTTCCGCCCCGTGCAGAGAAGAGAACCTCAGAATAGACCTCTTCCCAACAATAACCGACCAGTGGCTCCCCCGCGCCGCGGGTAGCAACGTCCAGTCATTCCGGAGAATAGTAAGCGGAATAGGAGAGTACAGAATTACCCCTGAAAAGCAAATTTACTCGCTGCGCCTTCCGGATGGAGTGGAAGTGGACGTACAGCTCACGGAACGAACACCATGGCAGACCGGAGAGGAATTAAGCTCTCCCGAGGGCGCGTTGGGCGAATTGGTCCATCTACTGCCAATACACTGGCACGTATTCTCCGTCGACTCCCGCGCCGAATACCGCATCCGCATACCTGGGAGAGCCGGACAGGAGGAAATTAATGGCATTGGAAGGGCGCATATTGAGAAGTGCTGGGGTGCAGCATTCCCGAGCGGCTGGACATGGGCTCAGGCCTTTTCACCCCCCAGAGCACCCACACCCCCCGAGGGTGCCCCTTCCAATGACGATGGTGGATTCAAACTAAGCCTCGCTGGTGGCCAAACCCTCCTCCAAAAAGCCTACCTCCTCTCTTACGCCTCGCCCACCACAACCCTCCATTTCAAACCGCCGTTCTCCCTCCTGCCATTGACCCTCTCGACACCCTTCTGTAGTGAAGAAATCGATTCCCGGGCAGGGCTTTTTAAAATTTCTGTGGCGAACTTTACGCACAAGATTGTGCTTGCGGTTAAAGCACCAGAAATGCATCGAGGGTGGATTGGACTGCATTGCCCGCTGAGTGGCGGACATGGGAACGTGTTTGCGTATGAGAGCTTTGAGGGGGTCGTGGAGGTTTGCGTGTTTAGGAGGGTGTTGGGGGGGTGGGGATACAGGTGGAGGGAGGTTGAAAGGAGCAGGATGGACGGATGTGCGTTGGAGTTTGGGGGAGGGTATAGCTTCAGGGTTCGGGCCGAAGGAGGGAAGTTTGACTAGCATGGTGACGTATTATAGATGTTTTTTTTCTTCTTTCTATTTTTAATTTTTATCTCAACCAGCTCCGCATCGTGTATCATGGCTTAAGCGTATGATAGGATATATCTAATCACAACATATCACTCACATTGCACTGATTACAGGCTTCCTCCACGCTGACGTATCGTACCTGACACACTCAGCATGATACTCGAGTACATTACGCCCCCGAACCAAGCTTCAACCGCAGCCAACCAACCAATCAACCAACCCCACACGAGCAATGATGTCCCGCAGCACAGTATGATACCAAACCCGATCCATGACTCACTCACACGCCCCACAGCCTTGCGCACACCCCCCCCCCCCCCCTTTTCCCTCTCCCCGCGCGTGCGCGCAGCCTACACATTACCATACCATACCACAGCAACAATCCACCACAAGCCCTGCCTGGACCGGACCGGAAAAGAAAAAGAAAAAGTCAAGCCTGAGCCTACCGTACCGCAATCCATTCATCTACCGGTATCATCTACCGATATCATACACTCGTGGACCCCATCCTGGTTGGAGGTTACTGTACTGTGCGGTAGTAAACGCACTCGTAACTGTGGTTCTGGCAGGCAGTTTAATCTAGAGGGAAGGTAATTTGTTTTTTGGTTTAGTGCACGCCGTCCGAGTTTTTTTTCTTTCTTTTTTTCTTTCTTTCTTTCTTTCCTATATGGGTCGTGTGCGGGTAGTAGTGGCGAGTGATCTTTTGTGATGGGGTTTTTGCACGATTATATCGGATTGTGTATCTATTTTTGCATTCTGTACTGTACTGGTGGTGTAATTGTACTGTACGTAGTGGTATGATGATAATATATTATGGGATTTTTTTGATTTATTCTTTCCTTCGTGCGGGTCTGTTGGAGGCTGGGTGCCTCTCCCCGCCTTTTTTTTTGTATGCTTGTGGTTTGATTTGTTACGTGGGGGTTTGGTGTGTTGCGTTGGGGTTTTGTGGGTGGTTGTCTTGGTATAATAGTCTAGTACTTGTATCATGCCATACGGTGTGATACTGATGGGTGGGTAGGCAGGTAGGTAGGGATTATGCATGGACGGTCTCGGGGGGTTATCATACGGATTACTGTATTTCCGGGAGGGTGCCTTTTTTTTTTTTACATGATATATAACGGTATTTGATGATTTGAGTACATGTTTTGATGAGTGGAATTGGGTAGGGTGGGTGGGGTGAAAAGAGGTCGGGAAAAGTATTGAGTGAAGGAATGTTGGGGGTATATCGGGAAATGAGAGGCAAGGGGTAGGGGGGAGGGGGGGGGGGGGTAATTGGGTATGATATAATAAATTTTTAGCGTTTTTTGTTTTGATTTTTCCACCCTTTTTCTAGTCGAGGGTATGGATAGGCTGACTAGGTGGCCGGGTGAACCGCTCAAGAGACTAAAGAGGGAGAAGAGGAAAAGAAAGGAAAGAAGAAAAAATGCCGAGACAATACTAAAAGCCATATCACCGCTGGGCAGAACGTGCAAGCCCGGGAGTTTCCCTCAGCGCCCACCCCGACCAGTAAACCTCACCGAAGCCCTTCGCATGGCCTCCGCATGACTACCGTCACCGCAGAGACGAAAGCTGGCTCTTTTAGGCCTGTTTTAAGTGGGCTCTGGTATTGGATACAAGTGATCCCAGAGCAATTGACTCAGCCGCCTGTGCGCCTCGGGAGTCCCGCGAGTCCCGAGAATGATTTTCTCTATGTTGCCCCGAAGTCTGAAGCGAAGAAGGAGGTCATGCCGGAAGTATTCCGTAAGGAGAACGTGTGGAATTTCAGGCGTAAATGGATCGTGGAAATCGACCGGTTCGGAGTAGTAGGGTGTATTGACAACGGACCCTAGAAGGGGGAAAGGAGGATTAGCATTAATACGGAGAGCAGGTGGGGGGGAGAAGGAGGGAGGATGTAGGAGAGCTTACAAGAACCGCCGAATCCACCTGTAATGTTTGTGAGTGCTGTTAGCTTGTGAGCTAGGGGGTTAGTGAGTGTTAAACTTACCAAATTGCCTCATGATGTCCATATCTAGAAACATCAGGCTGGATTCTAGCTCTGCTCCGGATTCTCCTTGGGCGATCAGTTCATCCCTCTTGCTCAATCTCATCACACCTTTCAATGACGTTTCAATCATTATCCCGGAGCGTACGCGAAAAGGCAAAAAGTCCAGCACTAAATCATCAATCAGCGTGTTGTAACTATGCAGGGATGGGAAGCAAACAATTTGCGACCAAATCTTCTGGTCCGAACTCCTTAATAACGTCCAACTGCGAGTCGGTTAGCGGACTATCTTGTTGGCCCGTTCGGACCCTGTTGGCCATGACGCGCCAAAACTTGACATGTATCCAAACGATCCTCGGATGGAAGGTGGCCATAAACTTGAAAGTTGCTTTATTCACCTTGTTCCGCCAAGGAATCTCAGATCCAGAGTGGTCGGCGATAAAGGAGCGAAAATCCGTGAGTAGCTTGGCTTGATGGAAATCGTAAAAGTAGAGCTCAGGAGCCCCGCCTAGTGGGTCAAGTAAATAATTTAGTGTGGTAGATTTACGAAAAGGGCTAGCATACCGAGTTTGAAGTACGACTGAAGCTCCTTAATATTCCTCGTGAATTCGTTCATACGCCTGAATTCATCAATTGGCCTCATCCCCTCACTTGGGTAGGGCTTATCCCACAGGCTCAGCAGACGTTCCTTTTGATACCGCAAAGCCATGAGCGGCAAGAATTCCGGGAGGATGGTCAAGGGCGTGCCGAGCATGAAGCGCGGATTCCCAAGAAATGCTTTGAGCGATCTCACAAGGGATTCATCCGAAACCCAGGTGATGGCGCGAGTCGCTTCCTGTAGCATGACCGTATTTATGATGTGCACTTCCTTGGTGTTCGCTTTGTGAATCTCGAAGAAGAATTCGTCTTCCAGCGTATGCACGGCTTTGGTCCTCCCAGGGAGCCAATAATGGGTCTTCGGGGGCTTGATTGGCAAGCCTTGCAACAATGAATCGGACTCTGGCCAGGTCTTCAAGTCGCGGAAAAATTTCAACCTTTTCTGCCATAGTGGCCCGTCACGGAGAAAATTTGACCGTAGGACTAGAATTAATCGGGGCGTTAGAGGCGCCAATTTGTGGTACTCGGTATATGTCGGGTCCTTTAACTGAGGACGCGAGCCGTCGGCACCTGTACCTTTGAGGTCAAAGACATCATAAACAACTGGACCCTCAAATATCCCGAACCCATTGTCGGTGATGATAAATTCGTCCTCGAGGGATTCCGGCTCACAGAACGCCATGTACGACTCCCTCATATGGAATACATACATGTCCGCATCCCCCGAAAACATTTCGCGGCCGATAGTATCGAGCCACTCTCCGTCCGCATCGATTTCAGTCCTCAAAATCACCTCCAGATTTTGGAGCCAAACTTGACGCAAATCCGTGATTGATCTTTCCTTTAGGAAAGGTACGAGCAGGTGACGGTCGTTGTATTCATAATTGTCAATGGTTCCAGTATATTTAGACCAGAATTTGTAATTCCGATACCTCATCACAAAAAGGAATTTCCGTAGGAGATTCACCTCCTTGCGGGAGATGGAAAATTCGTACGTTCCGCCTTCATGGCCCTTTTTGATCCGATGGTAGATTGATGCCACGCTGCTCTCTAGTTTTGAGAGTAGCACCTCGATATGATTGACTTTCTCGTGATCCACATCGATATACATGTCGGGGATGCCATAGGCCCTACCGACTTTGCGAAAATCGAGGACTCCGGATTCCAGGTCGTACAGCTTTATATACGGGTCCAGAGCCGGATCGAACCTCTGCTTACGGAGTTTCGGCTGTACTTTGTCCTTGACGGGTTCCGTTTCGGCCGTGGGTGCGAGCTCTCGGGGAGCACTGGAAGGGCCCGCTTCGTCGAGCGAATCATCTTCGACAACACCGGGGGTAGCAGCCTCCGCGATTGCGTCGGGGCCGAGTGATATCTGCCCGCTGGGGTCCTGGGTGTCCCGGGCGGTTCTCTTTGCCGGTTTCTTTTTTCTCTGTTGGTTTTTTTTTTTCCGGACTGGGCGTGGTGGATCGTCGTAGTCAGGCTGAGGCCGCGCTGCAAAAGCCCGAAGGACAAATCTGGGGATAAAGTGGTGGTATTGCTCTTTTACTTCGAGCATGGGATTGGGCCGGCTCACGATCTGGTTTTGCATGCTGTCCGAGGGCAGCGACGTGTTTTATGTGAACGCCTCACGCGGATTTCTGAAGGTGTGTATCGGTGGGTAATCAGGGTTTATAGGGATTGCCCAGGGATTTGTGGTAGATTAGGGATGTTGGGGAAACCCAGAGGCGATCTAAGGGTGGATATTTATTGATAAACCTCTGGGTTACTTGCCGTAACCCCGCCTGCGAGCAGGAGTACTCTTGAGCACTCCAGCACCCACCCAGTGACCCAGCCATGTGGCTTGCAGTGACCTTCTTCAGGCGTCTGTGCGGGTATGGTCGTACAGAGAGCATGGAGTCATAAGCTGCAGCATACGAAACCGTATATCACAATACCCGTGCTGAGCTCGAGCGCTGGCGTTACAATGCGTCCAATGTTTGGGCATCATTCGGTATTGTGGTAAATTACTTGCACCATGAGACTTGGTAGGGGAGGGAATACCGGCACTGCTTGGATGAAAGCTATCCACCTCAGTTCGGTTGCGCTTCACGATCCCTATTAAAGGTGCGGGGTCCCGGTCAATGTTTCCTCTCCATACCGTACAGTATCAGTATTACCGGTACGGTACTTTCAAGTTTCAACCTAGCGTAGCGGCCCAACTACGGTACGGCGGATCGACACTGCATTTTCCAGAGCCCTCAATCGGGACTATGAAGTAGGCTATCTAGGCCCTCCCAAACGCCTCCCCCCTCCCCTGTCTCTTTTTTTTTGTCCTCCCTTCAATAACCCCGTAGACACTACAGTACTTGTACAGTACTATGGCCCGGCAGGCCGGCTGAAACGGAGCCATGCGCCCGGACAACGGTGCTGAGGACACATTGCTAGTACCGTATTATAATATCTGTTGCGAAAACCACTCGTTCACTGCAGCCTTTACAATGGTACCCTGAATTGGGATATTTATCATACCTGACGCGACCGCAGTGGTAACTTGTGGCACTCAAGCACTGAGGCAGGGCGTTGTGGCCACAGTGCCCCCCGGAGCTACCGATACCGGTAATTGCCCTGCGGTATTGCCTCCCAGGGTTGAGATGTGATACGGTGGTCAGGATATGCGCTTGCGCAGTACCGGTACTGTGCTCGCACTGTGGATACTTTAGACTAGCCAGTAAAGGCAGCATTGCGCTGGCGGCATGGACTTCACTGTCGGCAGTGCAACGATCGGGATGTGCGAGAGATGGAGACACTGAATTGTTACCGCGCTACCCGTCTGAGCGCCGGGCAGTGAAGACCACTTCGGGTTCCGGACCCTTGCGTAGATCAGAGAAGATAAATTGCAGAATGCACTACAGTAGATACGATTATCGGTCGGGTGCTGTCCAGCCACTAGACTTCGAGTCAAGAATTGTTCAACACACCATACCGGTACCGGTACTGCGCAGCACAAAGGGAGAGAGCGTGGTGGGGGTGCCGCAGCCTCACATCGCGCTGCATGCCTGACAGGTTTGATGCAATTTTGGTCTCGCTCGGCCACCTCGCTACACGCCGCGAGGTGCGAAACCGGGCGACTGCCGGTACCGTATACCATAATCCGGCACGGCACCCACTACGAGAGTTTTTTTTGGAGCCGGTATGGCGGCCAGCGGCCGGTGGGAAAGAGGGAAGTAACCCACCTTCGTTGCGAGTGGCAATCGCCGTGTATTGATGTAATTGAGTGAGTTAACAGTGGTTTGATTGTCCGCCATCCGTCGGCTGTCGTGCGACCGTACAGTCTTTAGGGGACCATTATCCGGCCCGGTGGATACACCTCACATCTGTGTGAGATTGATGAGTTATATCAGCCTTAACTTATGATTTAACGACGGTTTATCACAGCCCTTGCTCGGAAGTGAGGCTGGAAACGGGTATCATAGGGTAGCGATAGGAGGATCTATTTGAATGTCGCCGGAACACGGGTGGAGGGAGAGGGGCTTGTTTCTCCGTTTCAGGAGAGCTTCAGCAGACGGGGTTGTGCCTTGTGTGATACGGTACCGGTACTCGAGCAGACGTGTCTCTTTTGTGCACCTCTTGCGCCCCGCCACGGGAGCGCAGCAACCAAAGTCAACGGATCAAGCTGACAAACGCGCAGCGGCAGCTTCCATCACAGAGATGGGCGAGAGAGGAGGTGAATTTTAATATAATTTAATTCCATCATCGATTCTCTACCAGAATCTTCAGTTAAGGAGCGGGGGCTTGGTGATTCTATGCTTGGTGGAGGATTCAACCGTGCTGTTCATCGACCCAGCCAGCGCCCTTTCGGCCTAACTTTTTTTCACCGCAGCGCGAGTCGCAGTGGTGTAGGGCCGCCCCGCGCCTAAAGGTTGCTGGCCAGAATCACCGTACTCGTACCGCGCTGGACCGTACTCGCGTTGAACGACAGACATCATCCCCGGGTCGAGAAGATACAGCCCGAGGGCGGGAGTGAGCCGGTCCAAACCAGTTTACCCTCGATGTGTAGCACAGACGGCAAGCAAATCGATTTGATTAATCTCCGCCAGGGCTTCTGACAACACCCTCCCCCCTCTGACTCCTTTGTGCACTGTACCAAAGTGCACAATTCTTATGCACGCCAAGTTCCCAACGACAAGTGTATAATTTGCACTTTCAAACTGGAAATCTGGCATGTTCTAGGCTGTACCGGTATTCGTCATTGGGTTAAGAGGGTGGCTCTCTACCGTACTCGTGTTCTCACTCTTACTCGTACTGTGCTCGAGTAGTTTGGTGCTATGTTTACAGGTAGGGGTGGGGTGGAGCCGTGGAAGTGGGCGCAGAGAGGTCTCTGGAAAGAATGCCTGAGATGATCGGAGACGCCATTCTCATGACATGGTAAGATTATACAGGATTTTTCACCCGAGAGGGTGTCCACTACAGTACCGGTATTTGCGTGCCGGTAATTGGGGCAAACCTACCGGCACTTTTGTTTGCTGGGTCCTCCCGTCAGCTACTCGTACAGTACAGTCTGGGTAGTACAAAATCGCCTGTCACCGGGGGAGGGGGTACAAAGAAGTCGACTTTTTTTCTTTAAGATATGCATTCCTCCACCGAGGAACGACTGCTAGTATTATCCCCTGATGGTCCTGATTTTCTCTCATACCCACTCACGGGGCGTCCCCTGGAGACCGACACGTGACCCGGGCTGCGTATGTTCTGAGCGCCTCGCCGTTCTTCATCCACCCAGAAAGCTCCAGTAAGGCAAACTACCGTATTGTTCATAGAAGAGCTTCCTGAGCCTCCGTCGAAAAACTTGTATTATATTGAGCAACCCTCTAATGTAGGGTACCCTGATCCCATGTTTCTGGCCAGATCTTGACCACAATAGTCCCTGAAATGTAAAGGGAAATTACCGTACTGCACTCCCTGGACCAAGTACTTCCCATAGCACATTCTCTCTCTCCGAAATGGTCTTGAATACAAGTGTTTCGTAGAGGTATAATAATATCATCTACACGCTTTCAAAATATCCCTTACCGACCAAACCCACCAAATCTTGACCAACTTCCCGACGCACACCCCCAAAATTCCCTAGACAGCAGGCACACAAATCCTCCCCCTGGCCCCCTCCAGCCCAATCAATACCTCTCCTGCACTATCCCACCCCACACGCACGATGATCCATCAAACAAGTCCAAAAATTCTAACCACCACCAATCAATCCCCTATCACCCTACATGCCCTCCCTTCAGGCGCCACCCAGTGGCATCCACCCACTCCCCAAAAGCCTAAAAACCAACCCCGCCCGCCTCCTTAAAACCTTCCAATGTAGGAAGCTCCCATTACAGTATATCGATATCACACCATCTGCCGTCTTCCGCTGGTGGCCCAAGACCCTAACAGTCCAAACGACGCACCTTCGACTCTAGCTAGGCTCCCCTGAACTGGGGTCGTCCGTGGTGGGGTGGGGAACGAGGCGACCAATCAATCAAACTCCGCGATATGATGCGACAATTTACACCCCGTCCGTCCAACCGCGGGAAACGGGAATGCCGCTACTGTAGTGATGTGATGTGATGACCCCGCGTGCTTGCGGTATTTCCGTAGGGTATAGTGTGGTATGTGGAAAGGGAGGGTGGGAAACGAATGAAGTGAGAGAAAAGAAAAAAAAAGGGAGCCCCTTTTGTACTAGTACTGTACTGTACTCGTAACGTTAGGCGTTCGTGGAAATAAATTTCTATCCTGTTCTATCCTATTCCATTGCATGCAACTGAAAAAAAAAATCAAAAAAAAATCGTGAGGCTCCGGACGATTTTATTCTTATTTTTTATTTTTGTCTGTGTGCAATACCGACATCAAAGCAGCCGCCTCGACAACTACGAGTACGATACAGTATTCGTACTGTACTGTGCCCTGACTCCACTGGGTGGCTATCCTCACTGTACTCGTACATAGAACCAAAGTGTGATAGGCCACCCCTTGTTACCCCCTCTCACCCCTTCCACCGTGCCGATGTTACGCAGTACGATACCAGCACACGTTTGTATATTATACTTTTTACTTCTGTCCGAGTGTGCGAATTATATCATATTAGTCGACTCATGAGCTTTGTGTGATATTGCTGCCTAGTTCTCGGAGGAGGGGGGGGGAGGGGTTCCCGGGACTAACGCGATAGGAGGGTTTATTTATAGGGTGTTTGAGTGGGTTCCGGTTCCGGCGTGAGTGTTATTGCTTGGCTGTTTTGGATTGTTGTATTGGAGGAGGGGGTGTTAGCTTTGTGATTTGTATGATTGTTGCGGGTGGTCATGACTGATCACTCGTGGAAGGGGTTTTGTTCAGTGTCGTATCGTACTGTGGGGCAAGTCCTATCGGTGTGATAACTTGTGATGGATTGGAATGTCTCGGTGGAGGGAACGGGAGGGATGGGAATAAAGAATGGATTATCGACGGACTCGGGGGGTGGAACCTGCAGCGTCGTCTTTTTTTTTTCCAGACTTGTGGATGGTACGTACAGCGGTGGCAAGAAAGTAACTGGACACTAGCGGAAATTTCCATGCACTACAAGTTCATAAATGTCTCTAAAACACTGATCCATGTTCAATACTTCATTCTTGAACCTCCCTTCTCAATCAACATTTGAGGCATACCACCTATTATCTTGTAGATCTTATTCCAACCTAATTGGTCCTACTCCTCTCTTGCCACTCTATCCCCCCCTCCTCCTCAGTCCTTGGCTTCATATTGTGATCTGTGGTGGATGAATCCTGTTGCAACCACACTATATACTGTTCCAACCAGACTAGTATCCACTGTAAATCTACTTCCAATGCTGTCCGGTTACTTTCTTGTCGCGGGTGTACAGTACGGCAACTGCAGATATCGTATGCCCTGTCCTCCTCCCTCACACGTCGTACTAGAAGGGATATGCATATTCACCCACCCCGGAAGCAAGTTTCTGGAAAGAAACTGGGCTCTACAATTTTGATATCATATAAATAGAGAGTAACTCGACCCTCAAAGTAGCGCACTGGAACTGGCGTCGGGTTGTAGATTCCCTCACGAAAAATCACCCGTAAGACACGGCCCCACCATTAACTTTGCAACTCCAATCGAGAGGGAGGAGGATGGCAATTTGTCACGTCGCAGGTTAGTCCCTCCCTCCCCCCGCAAGGCAAATCACAGGTGATCATCCGAAAATAAAGTAAATTCCGTCCCACCTCCACCCCCCGCAACGCCGTAAAACTAGATAAAAAATATATAATTATATTATATATTTGGAATTCTTACCCGAGCGTTTCCGACCTACCAGAGCCATCCTTCGCGTGATTTGTGCTTGGTGAGGAAGGGGGGGGGGGGGTCTATTAGAACCTAGAAGTGCTGGTGTGAGCGGGTGTATATATAATATAAAGATGTGGGAAAATTGGTATGTTTCCGGAGAGGAGAGGAGGGTTCGGTAGTTCTGACCATGGCTTCGAATCATACAAATACCAAAAGTGTCAATAGAGTGGTTGGGAGAGTGTGCGGACCGATGTATATATGTAGCCATCCATGAGATTTACCTGAATTTCTGCTATTATGGAAATACCACGGTATCATCATTACCCTTTCTTTACCGAAAACTATAGCACTCGTGCCCTGACATAGACCCTTAACGAAAAAAGTCAAAAATAGATAAATCAAGAGACACAAGGGTCCTTTACAGACAGGTTATCATACATTCTCCAATGTTGATAGGTTTTTTATGGGGGTAAACCCAGGTTTCCAGCCGTTATAGGTGATTCGGTAGCTCAAATGCCATGGAAGGTATGCGTAGAGGTCACTGCTGGCGATAGGTGGTATGTCGCCGGAGTTTAACTCGTTGTTTCTGGATTTTGGTAGGTGATGTGGATATGGATAGCTCTACCGATCGTGCTGCGGGTTGGGACACGCGATATATGCTAAAAGGTCTGCGTTCCTATGCTGCCGCGGTTTCCCCTGGGCGGGGTGTGTAATGGGGGAGGTCGTAGTTGGTCTGTTGGTATTGTTTGCTGGTCTTTGGCCTGCTCACGGGGAATAATGTAATACCAGTAAGTTACTAGGGAAATACCGTAACATCTGGGATCGTGATCTGACACAGGTCCGTGATCTGACACACAGGTTTCACCGGCACTCCCGGCCATGAAAGATTTTCATGAGGCCATATCTCCTGCAGTACATGTCCAAAAGAGAAATCGAAAAATGTTTAAGGAACCTAAACAAGAGCACATGAAGGGTAGCAACCTTGTGATAATCCTATAAATCTCCAGATAAGCATAATACTGTGAGAAATAGGGGGGGGTAAATGAACAAGTATGGAGAAACCAGAAGATAAAAATAGGTTTAAGACTAGTGAGAGCGAAGAGTCATATGGAGTAGAGTACTAGGAAGTAGGAACTTCTGAGCTGTAAAGATAGGACTTGATTTGTGAGTACACCGGATAGTGGTCAGAGGTGTATTCCATTCATCATCGCTTAACTGCTCAACCTTGCTCTCTTCTGTCTCTGAATTGATAAACATGACTATGGGAGTATGAGAGACAAGTATTTCCTGTACTCTGGTAGATGGTGCATGAACTGAGTGGGGGGCTGGGGGCGAGATATAGTTAGACTTCGTTTAGGGGTGGGTTTCTTGCAAGAGATTGGGAGTGCTTTCTTTGTATCCTTAATGATCTGAGCATCATGAAGACAAATGAGCTCCACCCTATCAAGGACTCTTGCAACTGACAGCTGATGCTTGTCACTTATATTAAACAGCTTTGCTGTACCTTGAAGCTGTCGATTAAACTCCATGTACAGCTCGTTTTCTGCAACCTCAGTTTCTAACTGATGCCCCAATTTACATAAAATCCCTACTACCCGATCTCTTATCTGTAGAGATTCCAATCCCTCCACTCACCTATCCAGTGGCTGGTCACCATTTTCACCTTAGTTTTAATGTCCCAAGAGGTGTGAGGCATTTTAACAACTCCAATTGTATTATTGTCACGGTCACCCGACTAGCAAGATGGAGTGTGCATGGATTTTTCGTTGCATATATTGGCTGTGGTTTTCTTGGTTGCATGATTGGATTTCATTTGTGCTGAATGATTGGGATGTGTTGCCGTACAATGGAAGATGGCGGAACCTGATGGAAAAGTTGCGGCTGCGCGCTACGTTAAGAGTTTTCTTTTGTACTAGTGATCATGGAGGATTTCCTTAGTATATAAAGGGGTGTGCCCCTTTATATTTTACTTTCTTTACGCAATCTGGTAATCTCCTTTGGACACCTGTACCTAGGAATCACACCCACTACTATCTGGCGTCCTCTTGAACCTCTGAACCCTGGCCCTGAACCCCTGAACCCCGAACCTCGTACAACTCACTCCGGTTGTGCCCCCGCACCCAGGCCTCGTCTCCAGAATCCTGCCTGTCCTGATCGTAGTGTGCCTTGGACTACCCGACCCTCAGACCCTGCCCGTTACAATTATGATGCTTTGGTGCTAGAGGTGCTAACTTTCCTAGAACTCACTGGAGATTGAGTTGCCAAATGCCCATAGCAGTAAAAGCTTGTTGAATACTATGAGAAGTTATAGCATTATTTCGTACTTTAGTTAGAAATGGAAGAAAGACAGCCTTTCTAATTCCTTCGAGTTCTTACCTGGGCCAGAGGTAGTTATCGACAGCTAATCTGTAAAAAATACTGATAGGGTGAAAATAAACCCACATCTAACAGCTGTAAGAGGTAAGTTGAGTGCGAAGGTAGGCAGAGAAGGTGAATCTCTCTTTAAAGACAATACTGAACAAACTCATAGGTAACATGCGATCCATGTCTATCAAATATCACTAGGCGTGGTTGATTAACTCCTGCTATGAGTGTCAATTGTGGGTCAAACAGGTTGCAGAGCTACTCTAAGGCCAGCTTGTCATCGGTCTACCCTTTTGGAGAGTAGTTAAAGTGATAGGCTGATTTCATATCAGTAAGGTTACCTACCATACCAGCCTAGGTAGTATCCCTTTCCTTTATTTATAATAAAAGGTGCAAGTGTTACACTACTAACAGAAACAGTTTCGATTACTATAATCAACTCACTTTTTCCATCATGAGTAACTCAGGGGTTCCGCGATCCCCACCAACAAATAACCTTTGCTCAAGTTACTTGTCCCATTAGAAAGCCCTTTTCATTCATGTTGAATATCTGAGAGACTTTTAGACCATAACGGCGTATCAGACCTCCTAGCTTAGCAAAATAGTCCTGTAATAGGCATGGATCATTTGTATAAGACCATTGTCTTTCTAAATTTGTGCTAAGTTTTAATACCAGAGATGGGTTATAGGTAAGAAATTGATTGATCTACTTTTTTCCTAAAGGTAAAGGCAGTACTCCGGTTCGCTTTTGCTCAAGATATATTGCTATGCTGTGTACCATATCTAGTCTTGGTAGAAATCCATGGTCATCCTGATCCTCACACCACTTAACAATTGCAGACTCTTCAGCTGGTCTTAGGTATTGTTGATCTTGATGGAAGGCCACTCTGCTGCCATGAGTTCCTGCAATTCTTCGGTAGAGTGTTCTCTTATCGACTTTATATTGTTCCACTGCTTCCAAGATAAGTAATGGATTATTGAGTCGCTTGACTACCTTTATCGCTTGCTGGAGGCATTTCTCGTATTCTGACTGCTTTCGTACCTTAACTTGATCCATGTTGTCTGGTTTTCAGGAGTGCTGTTTACTTTTGCCCTCATGAGCGGGATTCTACTCTATTACAACAGTGTCTCATATTACGCCACAATCAGGTGACAGATCTAGGTCTTGTGTCACATCACGATCCCATACGTTAGGCAAATTTAGATCACAGAGTTACAGTGCGCTGACTGCTTTTTTCTTCTGATTGTGATTCCCCAATTGCCGCTTGAGATCCCTTCAAAGGTGTCGTATGATACCATAGGAAAAAAAAAAAACTCATGTTAGACCCTAATTTCCAGTCCCCTATGGATCCATCAACTCCAAACCCGTCACATTGGTCCATTTCAAGATTGACGCTCTGTGGCGCGTAGCCACAGAATCTGATATGATAAGATAACAGATAATAGAAGAACTTTTACCACCTGTCTTTGCAAAAGTTATCCTACTACCGCAACCACCCCACCAAAAGTCAGAACAGAATGCCCCACGGAAAGAGCCTCACGAACCCACCCCCCTCATCTCAACAACCACAACCGCAGCTGTAGCTGCAACCTAACCCCCCCCCCCAAAATGGGCAAAAAAGACTCCAAAAAGAAATCCGCCGACAAAAAAGCCCGCGTGGCGGATAAAACGGCTCGAAAAACGTCAAAGAAGGAGAAAAAGTCAAGCAACAAGAAGGCCGCCGACGCGGACGATGACGACGTAGATCTCGATTCCGTGCTAGAGGAGTATGCCCGTCAGGTGAACCGACCCCGCTGCGCAGGGAAGAGGGAAGGTGTTAATGGAGCATAGCAAGCCCTTTTCCTGAAAGTCACCGAAACTACACTCACTGAACCGCCGCCCGTGCGCGCGAACGCGACCCTCGCGGCGGCCCCTAACGGTAAGGAATTGCTGCTCTTCGGCGGCGAGACGTTTAATGGTGCTGTTGCGAAATTTTTCAACGAATTATTTGCGTATAACCCTGCGCACGATGAATGGCGACAGATCACTTCGCCGAATTCGCCCCTTCCACGGTCTGGACACTGTGTGACGACGTCGCAGTATGGTGGTGGGAATACGGGGAGTATGTGGTTGTTTGGTGGGGAATTTTCCAGTCCGAAGCAGGGGACTTTCTACCACTACAATGACTTTTGGAGGTTCGATCTTGGGTCACGGGAGTGGTCACGTGTGGAGGGTAAGGGTAGTGGAAAAGGCGGTAGTGGAGGGGGAGGACCCCCGGCCAGGAGTGGACACAGAATAGTTGCTTGGAAGAATTATATCTTGGTAATGGGGGGATTTCAAGATACTAGTTCTGCGACAAAGTACCTGAGTGATCTGTGGGCCTTCGATACGAACTTGTATACCTGGACTGCCATCTCGCTGCCTGCGCACGCGCAGCGGCCTGAGGCGAGGAGTTCGTTTTCGCTCTTACCGCATGAGCAGGGGGCTGCGTTGTTTGGGGGTTACTCCCGCGTCAAGTCTTCATCAATACCCTCTGCGGGGAACAGGAAGGGTGGCGGGAGCAAGGCTTCTAGTGGATCGGTAGCTTGGAAGCCAGTGATTCATCAGGACACTTGGTTTCTAAGGATGGATCAGGACTTGACCAGGGTTCGGTGGGAACGGAGGAAGAAGCCTGGGAACCCACCAAATCCCCCGAGGGTCGGGGTCACAATGGCTTGGCATAAGGGCAGAGGGATACTGTTTGGTGGAGTGAAGGATGAGGAGGATAGTGATGAAGGGTTGGAAAGTACTTTTTTTAACGATTTGTTCGCATGGGGAATAGACAGAAATCGCTTCTTCCCATTAGTTCTCAGAAAGCCAAGGGTCCAGAAGAAAGCCGGGAATGAACGGGGAGGTGGAAGAAGAGACAGAGCAAGAGAAGCCGAAGAGGATTTATTAAGAAATCTGAAAGCACTGGAGGTAGTAGGAAAAGACGACAACGAGGAAGAAGAGGAAGAGAAAAAGGAAGAAAAGAGACTCGTCGTCATCAAGGAGCAAGTAATGAGTCTCGAACTCCCCCACGAAAGGTTCAACGCTGCTCTTGCTGTCCTCGACGACGTCCTATACATCTACGGCGGCACCTGGGAAAAGGGGGATCGAGAATTCACATTCGATGAGATGTTTGCCATAGATCTAGGAAAACTCGACGGCGTAAGGTCCGTATTTTCCCGCGAGGATGAAACAATTTGGGAAGAAAGCGAGGATGACGAAGACGAGGGAGACGAAGATGAAGAAGAGGAGGACGAAGAAGAAATGGACATCGATGAAAATGAAGAGCCCGAGAAAATGCAAATCGATGAAGCCGAGATTGAGCTCCGGCGGAAGGAAAAAGCCCTGGTCAGTATCCTCCCGGCCTCCATTTTACCCTACTAACACGATCCCAAATAGCGTAAAAAGGGTAAATCTAGAGACCTCGAGCAAGCCCATGAAACCCCAGACGTCCAAGAGCCAGAGCCCACAGAGGAAGCGGCGGAGGAAGCCTCATTAGACAGAACCCCACACCCCCGCCCATTCGAATCCCTTCGGGCATTCTTCACAAGGACTTCGGCCGCCTGGCTCGAGATTCTCATCGCAGAGCAGGAGACTGGGGCTCACAAGAACAAGACTGTCAAGGAGCTCCGGAAGGAAGGCTTCGCTGCTGCAGAAGAGAAATGGTGGGCTTGTAGGGAAGAGATCAGAGCCTTGGAGGACGAACAGGAGGAAGCGGGTATTGGCGAGGTTGTCAGTTTGGCGGATGCTGGTGGCGGGGGAGGCGGTGGCGGAGGCGGTGCGGGCAGAAGGAGGTAAAGTAGTTACTGATTTGTACATAGCCAGTTGGTGGGTATTTAGAGCCATATTCTGTATTGTTTGGAATGTGTGAACGGATAATTTTTGCCCCAAAAGTTGTGCTCTTTTAGACCGAAACCTGACTTGGCGTAATAGAACTCTGCTCGTCGTGCTGTCCCTATTGGAATAGCGCAACCAAGAATGCACTATGAGATAGTGATGGCTATCGGAGCAGAGGGTTCTCTCAGACAGGATACATTGATTAATACAAGTACACTAAAACTTCTACAAAGAAGATTCTACACCGCCCACCCAAGTGCACCAGAACCAAGGAGATATTATAACTCGCCCCCCCCCCAACAAAACGCAGGCGTGATAACCGTGGAAGGTCACTAGAAATCACTCCGGGCCTAGAAAAAAATTCCAAGCCCTTAGATAAACCCCTCACAAATCTCCTCCCTGGCCCGCTCCTTCTTCACCCCGACCCCCAAAACCCTCTCCATCTCCCTCGCAGCATTGGCACTAGCTAACGCCGCGCGCTGATGTGCCTCTGCTGCCTCCACAAGCACCTCCCTATCAACCTCCCTCTCCCCCCTCGCGCTACCAGGACCCTCTAAATCCCTAACCCTCGCCTTCGGCGGTTCCGGTATAGCTATCCATAAATCAGTCCTGTTATCATACCAAAAATCAAAGAGAGTAGGGCTAGCTAGGGGAGCAAACTAGAACTAGTATCAATGGTATCCTCCGACCCATCACTTCTTCCCTTCCCGGTTCCAGCAACAACAAGACCCGGGGGCCTGGGGATCCCGTGATGCCCGTGGAAGAAAAACCCCTCCTTGTACCCCCTCAAATTGGCAAAGTCCTCAAGTAACTTCCCGACCGTGTTCGGCACCGCGAACAGACATACCGCCAGTACCGTCGTCACGAGGAAGAATATGAACACCTGCAACAATCCATCATCATCATCAGTGCGAGATTTCCAAAGGTTGTGAAAAAAAGAATGAAAAAAAGGTGCAGACAGACGAACATTCCGGCTCTCCTCACCCCTCCCCTGCAGATCCATCCCCCATGCGACGCCCCAATATATGCCTATGGTCCCGATGTACGACCCGATGGCTAGCGCGAGCAGATATGTCGGCGCCCAAACCTTTACCGCGGCTGAAAGGCTCGGTAACCTCCTCTCCTCCTCCCCTTCCTCGTTCCGAACGCGGGTAGGGTTGAGGCCCCTATGCGTAAACGCCTTCCGCAGATCGCCCGCGCACGCGAACCCGCCCAAGTAGTGATGCAGCAGGAAGGAATAGTACACGGACAGCAGAGCGGACACGAGCGTGCCCGTCCACAGCGCCGGCACGATCCAGTGCACCGTGGAGATGTATTCCTGCTGTAGGGAGGTGTTCGTCACCTGCGCCACCAGCGCCGCCGCGACGCCGGTCATGCTGCACCCACCCATACGACGGGAGCGGTAGTCCAGGAGGTCATTATCGCTGGCGAGGAGAACGTTGGACTCGAGCGTTGTCAGAGTGTCGGTTATGGGGAGGAGAAAGGGGTAGAAGTACTTTGGCAGATTGTATGGTTTTAGCCGCTGATTTATTTATTTTTTTCGTTAGTTTTTTTTTTTTGTATTTCTCCTATCATAGGGGAGAGCCAGGTTAAGTTTTATCATACTCGGACGTTCATCTCCCACCGAGCCTGGAGGAGCTCCACGGCATCGCTGAAGGTTATCGAGGAAGAGAGGATAGTCCCGGATAGGGATATAACTCCAGCACAGACAGATGCGAAAGCGAGTGGTTCTGCCATGTTTTGGGGGGGGGGAATATAGGAGGTGACGGGCCTCTCAAGTGCAAGATGGAGGAAGGTATTTTAGAGATTTTTATTAGTTGGCATGGTTATGATAATAATATTATTATGATACATCTTTTACTCACAGGCACCGCTATGCTCACGAGATTGTTTCAATGGTTTTGGGGTTTTCCGTGTCGTCTGACCCTTACCGTATCATAGTCTACAGTTTACTCATGGCTACCTGGCCAAAACCAATATGATACAACTCCTTTCGGCATAACCCTTACCCTATTTTTTCACACTAGGATAACTACAGTAACTTACTCGGGTATGTTGCCCATGTTTTGAAACAAGGCACCACCAGCCTCCGTGGAGATTTCGCGCTATGCTACAAGTATGAATTTCTATGATATGATAATAGGCCCCGCCCGATCACTGCTGGAGCGGCCCGAACCTTAGTCTACCATACACGTGTGAAACCCGATTTTTATCAACTAACTTAGCTTCATGAGTGGCATGTTTTGACAATTGTTGCACGATCCGGTATATTGATGATTTCGCTTTTAAAAAATCACTTGGAAGTAAGGTAGAATTGAGGATGCGAGTTTCCCATTTCATCGGTTTTTTTCTAATAAGATGGTTTGCACATGGTGGGACACCCCGAGGTAGAATTGTGTGGTGAGATAGTAAGAGAGATGGTCCGGCGTCCGATATCATCGTCGGATGTTTTTGAGAAAGTAATGGGAGGGGGAAAGGGAAGAAGGCGAACGGGGAAAGGAGGAGGAGGCACTAAAGTCCCCGTACTTATTCCCGCTGGGTGATCGCCTACGGTAGCCGATGGCATTCCTAGACCCTGGTTGTCAAGTTTGTCGGGGGGGATCATGGTGGGATAGTTCGTGTTAGGATCACCGGTAGGGATAGGATGGACAGAGGTAATCTTAATCTCATCGAGGGTTGCACTCGTACGATGTAGTTTGTGTTGAAGTCACGGGAGAAGAGGAGAGCAAGAGATGAAGTACGCACCTTTCTTAGTTATCCCACCACAGATATTCTCTTTACTGTTCCGTTCTATTACCACCGCGCATTCTGATAGCAGCCACCATCACAGCAGTTCGGTAGCGTCCCCCACATGCTCAAGCACCGCACTGAAAGGGGAAAAGCATAAGTGGAGTCTGATCCACAGTTGCGGTTCCGAAATTCCCCTACCGGTACTCCAAAGTACGACCGGTGATGAGTCCGCTTGTATACAGTAATAACAAAAGAAGGAATTGGATGTAAAGTGGCAGTGCCGATAGTGGCTGGGTGCCTTGAAGGTATCGGAACAATTGTTATACTGTAACTCCGGTAGGAAATGTTTGGAAAGTAAGGACGCTTCGAGGAAGGTTCGGTAGTTAGCGTGGGGGTTGAATACTGTAGGAACCGGGATAATAAAGTTAGTGGCTAAGGTTATCCCGGAACGATGCCGCCTAGCGATAGTAATGCCAATCTGAGCCCAAGTAGGAGAACGTGAATAGCTTTGAGATCTCTGGTGGTATGAATTGGGCTCTTGGAAGTATTGGAAGTGCAGTCTCGGTTCCGACAAGACTTTCGAAAGGCCGCACAACTAATGTGCAAGTTATTGTGACAAGGTGGCTCGATGAGGGTGGGGTGCCCAGATGCTGTGCCTAAAATATTGCTTGAAGATATGTGAGCAATACCAATGGTCCCCACAGGAAGTAACTTTAAGTTACGTGTGGTGAGTAACACTGCACTGGTGACAACAGGAGGTCCGGATGGAACAGAGCCGACACCGGTAGTTCCAGTAGGATGAATGGGAGACGATATCCCTTGGAGAGACCGGTACTGTACTCCAGCGAGGTACAGATAAATTTACTACAGCAACAGTCGAAGTATAACAGCTGTCGTAGCGACTGTAAGCGAGGCGGTGACCATGATACCTTCCGTATAATAGCAGCAACAGATTAGATAACAGTGGATCTGGATGGAGGGGGGTTTTGATTACCATCCGTTAATTCTTAATCATAGAAAATTTCACAGGGCTCTACGGGATTTGAAGGATTGAAAACATGCCCATCGTCACCGTTTTCTCCACCCTACTGTTTAGTACTCGTATTGATAAAATTGGGTGGATTGAATCTCCTATACTGGCTCTTTGCACCTTGACCACTAGAACTACTCGTATTGGAGAGGATCATAGCCTCGAGTTCGGGGTTACACCGTGAGTCCTCTTGTATGATATCATACTAAGCGATGAGGTCATCTGCTACACCGTCAAGCATAATTACCGTACTCTGCTTCATCGTTGTGGCGAGCACGGGTCTGGAGGGATTGATAGCATGGTCATCCCGGGCCGGCTGGAGGCCGGGGTAGCGGTATGTGTGGGGGACTAGGGGGCAAACGGAGGCGTCATCATCATGAGCGTTTTGTTCGCCGGGCATGTATGATAGAAACACTTGGCGCTTCGTAAGTACACCTCCTTCAAGAACATATAAACACTTCTTCTTCACGCCCACAATATTAGCAGTGGTAGGGGGTGCTGCCGGTAGTGGGCCTATCATTGCAGGCCGCTTTCTGCCTGCCTGCCGAATCCGGGGTAATGGTCCTTGGCGTGAGCTCAAATATTCAATACGGAAACGTACAGGGGCGCGTGATAGGGGTTTTGGTCTCGAAAAATTCCTATTCCTCCCAAACTTCCGGGTGGGTAGCGGTGGTACCAACTTTTCCTTCCTTCCTTCCTCCCTTCCTAAATGGAGTCCAAAGTTTCTTGCAATTTGAGACACGGCTCGGCCAGTTGGGCCATGCTCCGAGAGGCACAACATTAAGGGCTCCAGCGCTAGATCTGACTCGGCTGTTGGAAATATCCAAGTCTAGTGCTGTGCAGAGTGTCCCAGCTCGAGACATTGGTGCAGGCACTAAGCTTGTGATTCAGCTTTATAGCAGTGAACTCTCAAACTGAGGAAGATGCAACAGTTTGACGCTATTGATGAGGTGGAGAGTTTTTCCTGCTAACTTTGTCTGATTGGAAAGGTAAATGAGTAATTGATCTTGGAGGAATCTAGATCATGTGATATTGTTTTTATAAGTTCTGTATCCAGCTCATGGTTATATTCCCCTTGATAATCACAATCATTCACTATCATTGCCATTCATCCTTTTTTTTTATCTCCACTACTCCCATTTGCGACATCGTTCTATACAAAGAACCCACACTCTCTTAATCACATACTGCATAAGTTACCTCAAAACTACTGTCCTGCAGAGTTGCCGTCCGGTAACCCTATGCCTTTTTTGTAAACATCAGCCACGCAGTTAGGTTCACGTCATACAGGATTATCGGGGGAATTAGTATCAGGAAAATTTAGAACATATGGATGGCGCTATGAGTACTTTACACCGGGGTCTCTTTTATAATAGACCATCCACTGTCTAACGACAATCTAATGCAGAAGAAGGCTGACCCCCCCACGAAGCAAGCAAGAACAGCACTCACAAACGTGGAGAACACTTTACCCTTCTCTCTACAATGTACTGCCCCTTCCCGAACCCTCCTAATCTACACACTCACAAGCATTCCCCAAGAGGCGGGGATCATGTACAAGTATAGTAGAGGACAAAAGCACCACAACTACCCATCTCTATTCAGCCACCCAAGCCGACGACCCCCACGTCTTCTTACAGGCCGTAACAATCGCGATATCACACCCCGAGAGCGAGCTTCTCCTCCTGCGGGGGGGTTATCATTATTCAAAACCGGAGCTGGAGGAGGATGAGGAGAGTTGTTGGAGGGATTTCTTCCCCTGTCGAGCCACCCGAGTCTACCACCATCCTCCGCCATCCTTCTTCTTCTTAATAGCTGTAGAAGTCGGGATATCTCATTCATAGAGTAAGTTTGGCCTGCCTGGGGCTTACCGGAAATCGAAGCTTGAAAGGTATGATAATAGCCGTTGGAGGGGGGGATTGCTCGGTTTTTGTAGTAACCTATGTTGGGAAATTATAGTATGGGAGGTGTGATATCTCAGGTTTGTAGTGCCCCTGGATGAAAGACAGAAACTAACTTGACTTTTCTTTTTCTGTCCATTGGGAGAAACGGGCGCGGTTCGGGTGGGGGGGGGCTGTTGAATGACGATACTGGTAACGCGGTAATCATAATACAAAGAATTTTGAAAAAGCTGGAGGAGGATTAAACCCCCCTCCAAAAAAAACTTGAAATATAGTTCAACTTGAGCTGTTATCATACCACTTTCAAACTGGACTGGACTGGACTGGACTGGACTGGAATAAGACTGCTAGACATCCAATTCATGCATTATGATCTAACGATAAGTCCAGTATGATACCCCCTCGTGAGAAGACAAACAACACCCCCCCTACCAAAAGCAGAAACAAAAAAAAAAAAAAAACTAACAGATACTTGTATGACGCGCCTACAACTGAGGAGGAAGAGGAGACGGAAAAGGACAGTTAGACTACAACCGCCCATGACACCTATATACTAACAGCACCTCAAGACCACCAACCAAATGATACCACTACCCAGAACCACTCCTCCAAAGTAGCACACCATAACCGTGGAGACAGAATAGATAGATAGATAGATAGATAGATAGATAGAACAAGCAATCAACACTACGACGGGGTAAGAATTAGAATCTCGGACGGAAGAGATGTACAGCATGATAACCCAGAAAGCGAATCGCACTACGTGGTAGACATTTTCCTCCCAATTCTAGCTATAAATGTTTTTGAAGGTCTCGAATCTACCATGGTTTGGATGTGAATTGAGATTTTTTGTTTCCAGAGTGCGTGGTGTGCCGGGGTTTTTTTTGGGGGGCTATTCAGTTGATTTATGGTACACTCGCCTGACACTTCTGTACGGATACTTTTATGCGGGTTTATGGCGGTTGTATCATACGTACGAGTGAGTGGCGGGATGTGGGACGCGTGATATCATGGAAGGTGGGGCCGTGGCGATGCCAAAGCTTACAACCCGGGGGACCGACAGGCCCCCCCCCTCCCTCAATAATCGAGTCTCCACCCCGCAACGTGCAGAAACTAAAATCGGATTTCAGACAGGATCCATTCAGCGACAATGATATCTTAAACATCTATACAAATCGATTCCAATCTCAAATTTTCATCAAAGATGCCTAATCCCTCCCCTCCCACCCCCAAAGCCTCCTCGGGTTTTCCACCATGAGCCGCTGGAAGGCCCTCCAGGTTACCACCCACCCTTTGACAACGTCCACAAACGCCGAGTCGTCCACGTCCCTAAACGGCCTGGCCACGAGCGGGTCGTCACCCGTATCGCCCTGCACATGCGGCCAGCCGCTGCCGTAAACACACATCCGCGGGGCCTCCCCGAGCAGCTCCTTCGCCACGACCCCCATATCCGCATAATTCCCATCCCTCCCGAATCGTGAGCCCAAGTACGGCGCGGAGATCTTGACCCACAATTCACCCCTCTTCATCAAGTCGACCACTTCGGCGAAACCGCGCTGGGAGTAGGGGTTCTCGCCCGCGCAGGCGCCGGCAAAGTGGTCCGCGACGACGGGGACGCCAAGGGTGGGTATGAGCTTGTGCAAAGTGGCGAAGGCGTCCAGGGGGGTTTTTAGTTGCAGGACCCATTTGTGCGGCTTGCAAAGCTCGGCGTGTGCGCGGAGGACACTTTCCGATGGGTTGCTCGCAGAGTTGATGCGCAGTCCCCGGACACCCGCGTTGTGCAGTGATTGCAGGGTCTCGGGGGATGGCGGCGGTTCCGAGAAGGGGTCCAGCACCGCTACCCCGATGGCGTTCGGGGAGAAGGCTTCTAGCGCCGCAAGTAGAATCGTGTTGTCGGTTCCATAGATGGACGGGGTGACGATGACGGGGTGGGATATAGACTGGGCTTCGCAATACTTTTGCGCAGCGGAGATCGGGGCTGGTAGTGGAGTGTATGCTAGATCGGTTGCGTGTCATATGTTAGGTCTAAGGCGCTCGGAGGCGGGGGGCGAGGTCAGAGGTAAGGGGGTGGTGGTGGGGAGGGGGAGGGAGGGGGGAAGCGGGGAAAGACGGGGGAGAGAAAGAGAGTGAGAGAGAAAGGGTCAATACTTCTGTCCGGGCTCAAAGGGAAGTTCTCCGGATCTATTACGTGGATATGGGAATCCCAAGAATAAGGAGGTAGTCTATACGAGTAGGCCATAATGAGAGATATCAGCTTTCGGTTTGGAGGGGATTATTCCCGCTGAGTTTCGTTGTTGTCATCGAGTTAAGGTATGCGGGGCACAGCACACGAGGCGCAGTGTGGGGTAACCTGTGTAACATGGCTGGCCAGAAGATTTTTCGAGTGACATATTATGAGTACAAAGTTATTGCCTTTAGGCGGAGATAACGTCCTAACTTATAAGAACAGGGAGATTGGAGGGGTTTGAGATCCTGTATAGCGCTTCATGATTTTTGTTTGGAAACTAGCATTGGATCATTCTTGATGGTATATTGAATAGAGTAGGGTCACCACAATCTTAAACCTGCCTTTGAGGTGCCTGGCGGTAATTTAGTATACCAGTGCTAACCGTGCTAGTGCCCCGACAGGCCTCGCTCTCTCAGTAATAGTAGAGTCTGCGTATCGGACAAGTTTTAGAAATAGCTCACTTTCAGTATTTATCTGTTCAAGAAAGCCTGGGATGTGTTTCGGATTTGAATTTGAATTGCTATAATGACCATATCAATATTCTTTGTCTCGATACACTCAGCGCCTCTGCTTTCAAGATATGGGTCTATTCAGTGGTTATAGCTAAACGGAAGGTGTGCCTTTAGTCCGCAGAGCGAGTCTATAAAGGGCTATAGTCTTCTCTATTCTTTCTTGCGATCACTATTCTTACACTGCTGAGCGGTGTTACACTAGAAGACGAGAAAAACTACATCGGATAGCCTCGCCATCACTATTTGCGATGGGTAAGACTTCTATCAAAATTTGCAAGGAAATGGTCAATGGGCGACCCGTTTTGTATGCTGTCAGAACCCGTGATAGTGGCAAGTCCGGAATAACCGTCAGCGGGCATGGGGTGCCGGTGGAGAAGGGAGAGAAAAAGGGAAAGGTCTCTGGGAATCCTCATCTACCCGACGCAAGCTCCAACAGTGCTGGTTCGCACGGAAGGGCTGAGCGGCAAGCGCAAGGGAGTAGGAGGGGAGGGGAGTATGTGCGAACTCCCCATTCTTGGCAGGGCCTCGGTGAAGGGAGCCGGTCCGATGCCTCACCCTCAAGCGAAAGCAGGCTGGATCCCGCCTCTCAGAATAGGCGTAGCTCTCCGGGCGCGGATGAGCCGGGGGCCCCCTCGCCCAGCGATAATGAAAGCGATGGTGATGGTGATGGTGGGGCTGCACCACCCTCCGATTCGGGAGGGAAAGGTCTTCTGCTAGAGAATGGGGAACTAGCGGGTGAGTTGGGAGGATCCCGAGAACCGGGAGGCTCTCGGGCGGAGGCATAAATAGGGGAAGTTGCAGTTGGTCGGTGGTACGCAGCGTGGGGGCGGAGGATACCCTAGGCCAGGCCACTGATTTTTTGTAACGTTGAAGTTTTTCCTTAGTTCTGTGATACGGTTTGGTTTACGAATCAACTCACCCCACCCCCCCCCCCCCCCCCCACCATTCGAAGAGTATCAGGACGATATCTATACCTTCATGTAATTCCTTCATGTAATTGAGGGGGAGGAGGATTTCTTTTTAATTTCACCTCTCTCGCCCCGACGTTGAATCGTTGGCATGTTCCGCCTGGTCACCGTGGTGGATGGATGGTTATTGGAACGAGGGTATTGGTATTATTTGCACCTGTTTGAATTACCTACGTCGTGTTATTAAAGTCATTTCCCCAACGTGTTTTCCAAGATGTGGTTAATCGGGGGGGTCCGAAGAGTACTCGGCCAAACCTTTAAGATTCTTTATAATACTTATCACGCGCTCTCAGCTGAACAAACTTGTGATATAAATGTGGAAAGTGGAGACATCCGGGAAGCGTCCCAACTTGCAGCACATAGATCTGGAGGTTGATGGTACGGTGAGTGAGATATCTCCATCCGCCCTGACCGTTGTGCAACGCGTGTACGAGTACCGCCGGGACAGGACAGGCTGTGCAGCGCCGTTCCTGTAATGGGCCATTAAAACCATTCAGTGCCCGATACCGGGCCGCGCCTTACGTAAATTACGGTCGACTCGGTACATATTGTCACACCCCCCTGCCCGCAGAGCAAAACTGAAGACCACGCGGAACAATTTTACCCCACATTTTTGGGCTTACGAGAATTGTCCGCAGAGGCTGAAACTAAGTTTAACTTCGTGGATTTCTTCCATTGAGCTCTGACCACCCACTTCTGCTGTAGACTTGATCCAGTCTGGCTGTCTTAGATTTTGCACTTTGCCCGTGGCTGTGGTGATCGAGAACACATGGCTGTCAGGGGCTTTACTTCCATTGCTGCCCCAGGTGCTTCTTCTCCCTTTCTTTCTTTCATGGTGCTGGATGCTGTATCAGAATTCGTGCATCTTGTGTGTATTGTTGGTGTCTTTCGAGGTGGGGTGAGATATTCCGGGATAGAACCGGACCGCCAGTAATAGAGTTCTAAATTTCCCTATCGGGGGCTTTTCTGACTTGGGTTTTCCAGAGCTTATGGCCCCTGATCCTCTCCAATATAGGGGGGCGAGTAGAAGAACACGAAGCCAAAAGACTGCACACTGAAGCCCCATCGCACAACTGAGTATCGTACAACTAGGTAGAGACAGTGCAGTACCTGTACTGTACTACGGAGCCACAGAGTCTCCTGTTACCGTGCTGGGCATTGGCCTGGTCCTGCACCTGTAGACGGCACGTCTCGTACCCGTACCGTACTTTCCTCCACTGCAAAAGCCTCATTTCCTCCCGAACTCCTATAAGAATTGGAAACCAAGACTACATAAACATAGCCATCATCAGCCCGCAAGCTCCACATCACATCGCACAGGGACCTCTATTCTCCCGAAGCTTGGGAGCACTCACTCGGCGCATAATCCCCCGAACGCTAAAAGATTGAACAAAGTCGCACCTATCAACCCCCACAGTTCCGACCCTCCCCTATGGGAAACCGCTGAGCCCCATCCCGCGATTGGCGAAGCTTTCCTTCTCCCGGCGGGATCCCCGTACGACTGTACTCGAGTAGAAGAGGGGAGAAGAAAAAAAAAGTTCGGACGAGCAAAGTGTAACCCTAACCCTTAACGCCAAGTTATATTTAGATCAGTCAGCAAAAGGCGGTGGCTAAGTTCGATTCTCTTCTCAGTACCGGTATCATTGGCAAGATCCTTCCTGGGGGCTGGGAAGCGATAGTTACCGTGGCCTGTGGGTAAGTATTTTAGAATTGTGTGGTTGTTCGAGGGTGGACCGAGGGGACCCGATGGCTCGGGACTAGGTTCGGCCATGTTGGCTGCAGAGTAAGCTGAAAAGTTCAGTTAGATGAGAGTCGGTTTTTCTGTGCTGTATGACGAGCGCGACGACGAAGTTTGGGGCTTCAGCGATCGGGCACTTCCGATGGTGAGATGGTGAACACGATTGATTGGGTTTTCAGGAGTCATCCAGTCATCGATGAGGGAATAACTATTGCTCAATTCAGGGGGCTGTAGCGTATCCGCGAAAAGTGGCAATTGGGCGAGGTACGGTGCCCCTAGGGATGTCAGCGGGACTCGAGAAGCTTTCTCTGGGGTCACGAAGTGCTCCCCTGGATGGGGGATTCCCAGAATACAATTCATCGGAATTCAGATGGGATGGATGAAAACCGGAGATTGTTCTTTCCTCAGATTTTGTTTCAGCAGAGAGCGCACCATTCCGACGAGCAATTGGAAGGGTGCTACCATCGCCGCATACATTGCTGGGGGGGTGGCCCATCTTGATTGAAAAAGCCGCGTTGGGAGGATCCCGGCGGTCATGAATCCCATTTCAAGCCCCATCGCTTAGCGGTGTACACCATACATACCGCGCGGCGACGCCTAAACGCGACAAGGGAGATCTGCACCAAGGTACTGGCATTGTTTTCCTCCAACGGTAGCAATGGCTTACAGGTATGGATGGGGTGCTCGACCCTATGATCTTTCTGACCCGAGCTCGTCTATCGACGACGAGTAAATTCCGGTGCCAGCTTACGCTCGGACAGGTCTGTGTCTGGCAGCAGGGCTGGTGACATACCGGTACTGCCTATAACTTGCGCTAATTCGTGGCCATGCCTTGAGCATCTTTCGCGGGAGCTTGCTGGAGCCCGGATTTGTGGGTTAGTTTGGGTAGGTAGCGCCGTGACGCATGAATGTATCATGTTGCCCAGTACGGTACCCCATACCCGTACTCTGTGGTTCATAAATTATTCGGACACCCCAGCTTGATTAGTGCCCGTCTTGGCGCTATAGCGTCTGAATACTTTGAGAGTTAAGCTTTACCGGTATGGTACTCATTGTTTTTGTTCCCTCAGGATGTGAATTGTTTCCCCTTGCGGCAGAAGTTTCAGCCCCGGGCTTGCGGTGGAGCGAGCGCTTACGGCGGTGAATTTGGGGATTGCGTGGTATAGTATTCCTCCTATGATACTAGAAGGGGAGAAGGGCCGTTGTCTCTTTTAAAAGAAAGGGTGCCCACGGGTACTGTACCGGTATGAGACGGTAGAGCTCGCGCTTCAGGCGATTAGGCAAGAACCCCGACATAAGGCATTGGTCGGTGGTAACCCGCTGCATAATAATATATTCTAGCAAAAATAAGAAGTGTCCCCGAGGCATAGCCGCCTATGGAAATACTCTCCTCTAGCAGCCTTCACGATTGGAGAATCGTGTCGATAACTATCGCCCGCAAACCGAACATTCCTACAAACCAGTGTTTGAGAGGTGAGTGCAATTTCCTCAGGCAAGGCGTGATGGAGCGGTTGTCCGCGTACAGGCAAAGGCCGGGGGCAGACTTTTTGCTTTGGCAAGTATCGTATGCTCGATCACAGCCGGAAAGCTCGGGGTGCGAGGCAGGGCGTCCCCGCCGTCTGGAGCCTCGAATCGATATGATAGCATTAGGGAACTCGTTTATGCATTCTCATATGCGCGAGGATGGATATTCATGTCGGGAAATGGAAGGCCGCACTTTACGGGTAGCAGGTAAATTGGTGTAGCTAAGCGGCGTTTAATTCAATGCGCGCCAAAAAAAGGAAAACTTACGTAAATGCGACCGATGCCACGGTTTTGTCTCCATCTGGACTCGGCCCAACTTCAACCCGAAGCAACCCCGATCCAATGCCCTCTCATGAAAAGGTGTATCCTGTAGTAAGGAGAAAGGAAAGGGTGAGGAGGAGGGCTCAAACACATGAAAAAACCCTCTGGAAGCTCTCCCCGCTTAATTGATGGTGATTGTTGGCGTTCTAGGAAGGGAAGCTATATTCACCCTACTAGCCGACCCCCCCGCCCGGGCACAGTGATGAGCCAACGCAGGGAGGGAAGGAGGTACATTCCGAACCTCCGGCCACCCCCTGTCAGGCCTTGCCTGCCTTACCTGCTTCCATCTGTGTTCGGAGGGACGAAAGGGGGTACCGATAATCATTATTCAGACGCGCATCTCCTGCCGAGACCTAAGCTTGGTGTTGCAGCAACACCAAGGCAGGCAGTGTGTCACACATGATGAAATATATAGAAATCCGCAGCACAGCCTGACGCCAGATGGCCGTGGGTAGGAGCTCGCGCAGACGAGGGCACCATGAACGACAGCAGCTTACGGTACGGATGAGAAGAAAGGAAAAAGGGAAAATAGGAACAAGGGCTTCCGGTTTTGTACAGCGGTATACTTACCCTTGGGCTGAGGTCCATTGTGAGATCCTAACTAACTGGTCCTAACGACTTGTTGAGAGCGAATTGGTGGGACCAGCTCAACTCCGGACTTGCTCAAAAAAAAAAAACACGAAGAGGGAAGCGGGCGGGCCGCTCCACGGTACTGAAGGCGGGCAGCACCGGAAGGAGGAATGGGTGGATGGAAAACTTGACCCTTGACTGCTGGAGTGGAGCTGAATGGGCGAGTTGTAAAACAACGGTACTTACGATCCCGCACGAGCCAGCCAACCACATTGCGGGGAGAGAGCTAATAGAATCGACCTGGTGCCACAGCTAATTCCGCTATTCGCCTCAGGCGTCTGAGACTTCATCTACCTTGCCGTGGAAATGATGGCATAACAACAACAATAATAATAGCAACCATTCCAAATCAGACAGGTTATACGGTAGTGGGATACATACTCACAGTCGGGCGCCGGCTCCCCTTGGATGTATCATGGTCATTCAAGCATCGCTTCCGCTTAGCAAGAGCTACCACCCTGACAGTGTAATGCCACCGCCTCATTAGGGCTCGCGTGCCCGTTTGGATGTCGTTACGGCGGGGCGCCAATGGCCTGTTTGCACAGTCGCGCCGGGTCCGCTCCCAGGGCTGCTGCTGTTTCGGGGATACCGGAGGCTGATGGTGTGTGGAATGGTATGCCATGGGCTGGGGTCGCTTCCGGCCAGGGCCGTTTTGATGGCCCGGCGGGATGTATATATATATATTCGTGTGCGGACGCACAACCTCCCCCATCGGCCCCAATAGATATTTGACATTGGCAGTTCGAACATCATATATACCGACGATACCTCCCGTCCACCTTATAGAGCGAACAAACAAACACTACCATCATCTTTCAACAGACTGGCACCCCTCCCATCGACACAACCATCCCCCCCCATCGCTCTTCAGAGGACCTATTTGTTAAACAACCAGCTATGAAAGGGCCCTGTGCATTCAGTAATAATGGCTCTACTTGGATCTGCAGGGGGAATGAGCCCCCAGAAGTCGGGTTTAAACCAAAGGTAAAGGCTGGCTTTGTTTGTCTTGTTTTCATTTTGTTTTTTTCTTCCCTCCTCTTGAAAAACTTTCTCAAGAGTTATCTATCTCTGGGGTTTGGGTACCGATTGAATTGTTTGCCATTTTGGCCCAATTTCCTGCTTGCCCTTGATCCCGATTCGTTTCATCTGCGCTCTGTCTCTATTTAAATATTTCCCTTCCTCCTCTCAGTCCCTTCCTCTTCATCCCCCATACCTCCCAACTGGCTTTCCAGTTTGTACAAATTGGATATTGTCAAATATTTCCCATAACCCTCCTGACGCAATGCTTTCCCACACTCTGGACATCACGGTTTGCACCTCCCGCACAAACACCCCTAACACCATCCCATCCCATCCCATCCCCCAACAAACAAACGGACAGAGTACTAACAACCCTTCCCATCACAACAGAAGCACTTGAACATCTCGGCCACCCCGCCAACGCAAATCACCTTCAAAGACCTCGCCCTCCCCCGCCCCGCCTGCGCCGCTTCGCCGGTAGCTGGCTCCACTCCCTTCCCACTATTTGCCCCAGCAGCGATCCCGTTGCTACGAAAGTCCCTGCTGAACCCGGCCTACCTCGACAAGACCGCCTCGCCCTTCAATAACCGCAACCTTATCGTGCGCAACACGGCCGCACACTCCCAATTCTTCAAGGACATCTGGACTCATCCTGATGTGATGAGGGCCGTCAGTCTCGCCGCGGGCGTCGAGTTGGAGATTGTGATGGAGACTATGGAGATAGGCCATGCGAACGTCCAGGTCGATATGCAGAAGTATGAGGGGCTGGAGAGGGGTGAGATGTTGAGCAGGGTCGCGGGGGAGCTTACTGGTGGGAAGTTTGGCAAGGTTGGGGGTGGCATGGCGAGGGTGGAGGTTGAGAAGAGAAGTGAAGAGGAGATTGCGAAGGAAGTTTGTGGGGAGGGGGGTTGATCGTGCCTTGGCAGTAAGTTTGTGAGATGTTGAACCGGTTTAACATATTTGCTAACTAAGGAATCAACAGTTACGACAGTTACCCATTCGTCTGCGTTGCGATGCTTTCAGACACCACAAACATGGTTGGGGGAGAAACAGTGATCCAGCGCGGTGATGGCACCTACTATGGCGTAAGCCCCCCCCCTCCATCACTTCATCCACCCCACTAACCTTTCCCACAGATTTCGCAACCCGGAACTGGCTCCGCCGCCGTCCTCCAGGGTGGCTCACTCAAACATCTCGCGCTTATGGCCAAAAACTCCCCAGACCGAATAACCCTAGTAACCTCCTACCGGGCGAAAGCCGTCGGTCTCTGGGACATCTCCTTCCTGACAAACGTCAGACCCTACACAGATCTATCAGTGTTATACCCGCAATGGAGTGCCTACCGTCTGCGTGTCCTCTCCGAGAACACCGCCGCCATGACCCGCCGCCTTGCCACTTCTTCCGTCTCACAGGCGGAGCTCGAAGCTTTCCTCCGGAAGCAACAAGAATACCTACGCACCACCACAGATCAAATGGTCCCTATGCCCATCGTCTCCTCCGCTATCGCGCAAGTAGGCATGGACGGTTTCTACAAGGTGCTGGGAATGTACCTATCCAACGCGATGTTCGCTAATGCGCCGAGCGTCTGCCCGCAGTGCGGGAACGTCGGTAAGGTTGACAAGCAGCATTTGGCGGAGTGCGTGAGAATGCGAGAGTGGAGGCCAGATGCAAGCGCTTGGGTCGTGTTCGAGGACAGCCTGAAGGAGATGCGTGCTGGGAACGCTATGGGGGTGGGGAAGACCACGAGGCCAGATTTGGAGGAAGTATCAAAGGCGTTCCGGAAAGATTTCCAGGCGGGGAAGAGAGTCTCTTGGGGGATCGCGGATGAGTTGGCAAGGCTGGGCCTGGTCGAGTATCTATTGGAGTACTTGGGGCTTTTTGGGATTGCTATTGAGAAGTAAACCAATCACTGGGTGAAGGTTAAAAGTTTTGCATTTCCTTAGCCCTTTCACGTTCTCTACTCTAGTGTTTCTTTCGTTTAAACACACAGTCGGTTATTTGTTTTCTTTTGTTTATTTGGGCGGGTTGGTGGGAAAAGCATAAACGGATGGAGGCACTACTAATAGACGGATATATAAATAGCATTGTACATAGCTCTTTCTAGTCTTTCTCTGGAGTTTAGATACATTATTAATACAGGGCTTCTCTAATCTGATGTTCTGCTTTTGAAACTTTGCACACGCAATCACTCGAACGCCTTGTCCCCTGTTTCCACAATGCCAATAGCGATGGTATCATACCAGGTACCACTCCATTGCGGAGGTGGTGTCACCCTGAATCGCAAGTAGCGGATCGATCGGGACCGAAGGGAACGAACCAAACATGCGAGTGCACAGTGTATGACACGAGCAGCGTACAGTAGGGTCGTCAACACGGCAGGGCGATACCCTGGCATGAGTAAGTTGCCCTAACGTACAGTACCACTGGTCACACCGGCACCAGACAAGCGAGTGCGATGCCCGTATTACCCGCACCGCCCGTTTGGGGGTATCACCGTGCGGCAATACCGTAACACCGGTTCGTCAAAATCCGTCATGAAAATTCCACCGACTGACTCACAGAGTTCGGACGTTCCCAGTTACGGCTTGAGGCTAAAATCCAATTAATATAATATAGCGCCCTGGTGCGACCCTCACCCCCACCCGTACTGTACTTGTACAGTAAGTTACGTTACTACGGTAGTACGAGTACAAGTACTGCTTGCGATATAACATAATACCGTACCGTACTTGTACAGTACCGTACCGGGGGGGTGGAAGGATGTATGGATCGACGGCAGATATTACCGACTCTTTTTGCTCGTGTTCCTTGTCGTCACTGTACAGTACGGTACGGTACTAGTACTGCGCTGAACTGAACTGAGCTGGACGGTACTTGTACGACAATACCAGAAATCTTGGTAAAATCTCGGAGATTCACGGTACTGTAGAATTTTACCAGTCGGCGACCAGAGTTGCCTGTCGTCATGGCATGCGCGGTTACTGTACTTGTATACTTGCACAGTACATGTAAAACCCGAAAGAACCGAAGTAGGAATGAAAGAAAAAAAAAGAAAAAACACCCCCACACCTCCCCCCCCCCGCAAAAATATAATTCCGAACCAACCACAACATCGGACCAGAAGAAAAAAAGAAGAAAAAAAAAGCGAGAAGAATCATCGGTAGATTAAATAGGAAAGCACGTAGAATAAGTAATATCCACATCACTAGCGGTAACATCGCCACCCCGCACGCGATGAAGAGGAGTAATTTCCACCATTCGTAGAGCGTCCAGTCGCCGGCGGTAACGGTCCCGACGATCGTGTTCGCGTCCGTAGTGACGGCGAGTAGTAGTAGGAGGGGGATATCTTTTATGACGGGTTGTGCTGAGTACATTTTTTTTTTCTTCTTCTTCTTTATGGGGGTTTCGATGGTCGTGGGGGGTTGTGTTTGTAAGTGTGGTGATGGGATGGGAGGATATCGGGGGGGGGGGGGGGTGGAAAGGGATGGTTTGACGATGGTGTATCATACTGTAAGATACTCGAGTACAGTACGAGTACAGGTACCGTATGATACGGTACGTGAGGCTGAGTGGAGGTCGCGCATACAGGGGGGGTGTTTGTCCTTGTTTTTGCTGGCGCCTTATGCATAGTGCTGTACCGGTGAATGGTACATGTATATGATGGGTGGTGGTACTTACAGTCGTGTCCCGTAAAGGGGGGTTTTTTTTTTGCACCCCTGGACGGTTCGACCTGGTCAGCCACACCAAACTAAATTGAGTCGGATGTTCACTTATAAATGAATTTAAGAATTGAATTGGAATAAATAAATAAATGTAAAATATTGATAGTAGAGTTTCTCTATTTTTCATTTTTGTATCTTCCTAAAATATTGTGGGATTTTGGCCGTGAACCAAATTTACGGAAACTAAATAGGTATGATAGATGGGGGGGAGGGGTCTCGAAGAAGGAACTATGAATAATGAAACTGTATCTAACTAGATTCAATATTTTTTTTTATCCATCCTTACAACCTGTGATGATGGGAATGATTAGATTAGGTTGTGTAGGAAGTTGAGAAGTGGTGCTTGGAACAGGAATATATGAAAAATTGAACTGCGGGACAAATATTGACTTTTTGGAGCTCTTTTTCGGTTTGTTTCTGGTTGATATGGTATCTCGACTATGTATAATCTAATTTTTCTCATTTTATCTGCTAACTACCGGTATTTAGCTGATTGGTAATGGATCGTGATGGCCCTGTTGCTGATAGGACCCTGCTGCCATCCAGGGGTCCAAACACCTTACGAACACCACTCCACTCCACAGCACCGCACAGCGCAGGGCCGGGCGATACTGGATATAATAACACCGGTGAAGAGCTGTGCCTTTTGGTGTCGGGAGTACTTGCGCAGCACAGTACATGTTGTTCGCAACGTATTCTTCACATCTCTGTTGAGCCCAAAACTATTATTCAGAATGAACGATGGGTCCGTATATGGAGATCCACTTCAGTTATGTGAGTCAGGGCTCAGAATACCGGCACTGTACAGTACTGTACTGTACTGGGCTTGTACTGCACTTCACCGGTATCCACACTTAAACTCTCCGAGCAGCCAAGTGCGGCGCCATACCCGCCCCGTCTGTCTCGGATCATCGAGTAATGTACGGTGACGTAAGTGCTCTTTTCCCTCGCTCGAGTGACCAAGGGGGGTGACAATGCGCCAACGGACGTAGGAGAAATTCGATGAGCAAAGAAGTCACCGCAAAAGCCACCGCCGGTCGAGACAAAATCAAAATCAAAAAATATAAATAAATAAATAAATAAAAAAGGAAGGGAACACAACAACGCCTTACTCCCGCGTTACGGGCAGTCGCAACACTCCTGCCGCATTTCCCTGGCGCAGTATGATATCACACCCGCATATTCCCAGCGCCGAGTACTGTACAGTACAGGTACATATCATACGGATGCGGCGGGTATGTGCGTGCAATCACCTGAACCTGATTTCCAGCCAGGTGAGAAGTTCGGTGTGACCTGGGTTGTATAATAATAAGTGAGTACTTGTAAGGCACGCGGATACCGGGAATATAAATATCTATCCCGCTATCTATCTATCTATCTACCTCTCGGGTTCAGAAGTGCAATGAGTACAGTGCCATCTGAGACAACCTCGGTCCTCATGCTAGATATCTGTGCCGATGGAACCAATGATAGCGCAAGGAGGGATTAAATTTTCTGTGCGGTACGAGTGGGATGGAGAGTCTCGGATGAATGGCCCAAGGCGTAGCACAGCCCACGATAATTGCTGTTCCCGTGCATGCTCCGGCACGGGAGATCGGGGGGCGAGCGAGCGCCCGGGTAGAACGGCCTTTGGCTTTGGCGAAGAAGCTGGGTGATGTCATCTGGTAGCTGTGGAAGCTCCTCTGTGTTTTCTATATTCCTTGCGGTAGCTTGGAAGAGTTGGCTGGGGAGCTGTACCGCCACTTGTGTGGTGAAGCTGTGTGGTGAAGCGGAGGAGGGGGCGTATTGTAAAAACTAATGACCGAGGTTAGTAGTGTTCCCTGTCGACTTGGGTGGCCATTCAAATGGGACAGTAGTCATAGAGCCGGACAAAATCAGGAACTAGAGCAAATATTACAATGAGCTGAAACTAATTGCCACCGATAACTCGCTGAAATATAATAAACTAGGTTCAAGTTTAAGATGCCAAATGCAGCATAAATCTGTAGCCCAACTTACATTAAAAGAGGCCTGAGTGAAAAATTTAGGATTTAATACATTTGAGCCAACTCAAAACTAAATGATAGGTAGTATAGTATCATATGACACTCAATAGCTTTAGGAACCCCTGTATAGGTAATTAGGAATGGCTTAACCCTATAGTGCCTGGACCTAAACCAGTTACTCTTTTACTTATTTTTTATTTTTTTATTTTCTGTTTACCCTAAATCCTTAATTATTGAATAAACTCAGAACCTATTTTTTTTTTTCTTTATAAAATGTAACATTGCAAAGCCCCCCCCTCCAGCGTGTCTTGTACTCATCCTTCTCCTCTTTTTTAGCAACAACTATCATACCTTTAAGTTTCTTTACAACTACAAAATACAATTCATTTTACCTTTATTGATCACTCTTTCTCCTCTGCCTAATTTCTACTCTTTCTTTCACCATTTTTCCCTTATTTTCTATCTTCTATTCAGGTTCTTAAGTTATTTTCTTTTTTATTGAATCTTTTACTCTTACAATTACTTTATATACTATACTACAGCTACACTATTGCTGTTAGCTCTATTCTAGTATTACTAGTATTTCCTTAATCCATACTTGGTTTTATCAGTTTTTTTTTCCTCCTCCTCTTCTATATTCTATTCTGTTTTATTTATAATTAGAAGTTTCTTCTAATGCAAATTGCTATTTATGGATAGTTTGTTGACTTGAGCTTATAGGACAATATCTGAGTCAGATAATAGTTCTCTTATACTGTTAGTTGTCTCTATATCAAATTTTAAGCAATATCTTAACTATTATCTCTACTAACTATCTCTTACAATAATGCTATAACAAATATAGATTATAATCCTGAGAATTTATTGCTATAGGTTTCCAACTATTAAGATCCCATAGGAGGAATAGTGATAGTACTTGCTAGCCAGTATGCTATTATCTTTTTAGTCACTAGTACATCTAGTATGACTTATTCTAAATCTAATAAGTATGTTAACAACAAAAATACCTGTTAACTTAACTAATATGCCAGTAGCTGAGAAGAGAATGATGAAAAGAAAATGACTACCAAATTAAGATAGGATTTGAGTTATCCGACCTCTCCTAACTATTCACAAAATATAATTAAAATAAATATTTAATAAAATTTTAATTACCTTGATAACAGGTAGGAAAGAAGCTATTCAGACTCTATA